TATTTAGGTTTTTATTTGGCAAATACATATTTGTTTATAAATTTTATTCATATTTTGGCAAACTTTCAAAACCCAAATCTCAAAACCAGCTCAAGAGCTAATTTTGGCCCAAAATATTACTATTACATTTTTTAAAAATTGTCCCAAATTTTTGTATTTTAAAAAAGAGCCCACTATTTATTATTTTGTAACAATGTTGCTTCGTCTTCTCGGTCATCTGATAGTGTATTATGTAATTCATTATAAAAATGATAATTTTGTACTAAATTTATTAATGTTCAGGACTATGGTTTGCGATAATATAATGAATGTTATTGATGAAGGTATTGTTAGGTATTTGTGATAGTTTTTAGAACTTGTGGGTATAAGACATGTTTCATGTTTATTAAAAAAAAGTGAAATATATTTTGAAAACTAATGTACTAACACATTTTCATATTCAAACCAAACTTCACCCAAATTAGATTTTTCAAACCAAATTTGGGAATCTATGGCCAAACGCTAGCTTAATCTAATTACCACATTTGATTGGGTTTTTTTCCTCAATTGTTGTTCTAGCAGTTGTCACGAATCGGAATTCCCACCCTCGGGATCGTAATGGCGCCTAACATTTCACTTGGTAGGCAAACCAATGTTAGAAGAGTTTTAAACCATTTTCAACAAATCAAATTAACTGATGCCAATTAAATTGAAATAACTGTAATAGAACTGAAATAAAGTGCGAAAAGTCAAAACAACCGAAATATCTAAATACAACTTAAAACTGGTGTCACAAGTGTACGGGCGACTAGAATAATACATACAATGGTCTGAATGAAAGTAAACTGTCTAGAAAGAAGTAAAACAGCTAGGATAAAGTAGAAGGGACTTCAGGGTTGCGGACGCCGAGCAGCTGTACCTCAAGTCTCTGTCAAATGTCCGATCCGAACTATCTACTGACCGCCGCTAGAACCGACTCCAAATTTTGCACAAGAAGTGCAGAGTGTAGTATGAGTACAACCGATCCCATGTACTTTGTAAGTGTCGAGCCTAACCTCGACGAAGTAGTGACGAGGCTAAGGCAGGTCACTTACAATAACTTGTACGCAGTACAATAATAATGACATGAAAGGAAATACGAGGAAATAAAGCTGTTAACTCTTGACAATAACCTCAATCCTCGGAAACCAATAAAACCAGAAATACAGATTCTCATAATCTCGTACGAAAACATCGAAGCCAATGCAATACAACGAGTAATACTAAAATACATAAATTGTTGCGGCGCACAGCCCGATCCCACCGTTCAAACACAATCCTCCTTTATTCCTCCATGTAAATGTCAATAATAACAAGTAAAATATATATTGCGGCGCGCAACCCGATCCCACTATATAATTAGAATCAATATCAGAATCCTTACTTATTTCACCATATCAATCCTCCCTTATTTCACATGTTGCGGCGTACAACCCGATCCCACCATATCAATATCAATCCTCCCTTATTCCACCTATTGAGACGTGCAACCCGATCCATAAATACAAATCAATTAATGAAATCAATTCAACAACCCGAATCATAAGAATATCTACGATTAACGAATATGAGAGTAAAACCATAAAGGGAAATCTCGTATCAAATCAAGAATTTCTAAAATTAATACTAAGGAGCAAGACAAGTCAGTTAAATGATAACTAAAGGGTACAAGTAAGTCAATTAAGGCAAATAATAATTAAATCATGGGAGCATGGGAGAAACTAACATTTTAATACGTGAATGATAAGTCACAAGTAGCAAATTAAGGCATGTGAAACAATTAAATCATGTAACAGTTAACATATGCAATAAAATATTTAATGAAATATGGACAAGCATGGAAACAAGTATTTTGACGGCGTATATACACTCGTCACCTCGCATATATGCCACTACACATGAATTTCACATAGCACATAGCTCAAGGGTTCCTAATTCTCTCAAATCAAGGTGAAACCCAACACTTACCTCGCTCCGCAAGCAAATCAAAGCTCTATCGGGGACTTTTCTCTAAAATCCACCTCCAAACCAATCGAATCTAACCATAATCGACTCAACCACATCAAATAATGCTAGGAAAATCAATTATAATATATAAAGTTAAGATCTTTACACCTTTCCCAAAAAATGAACAAAAGTCAACCCCTGGCTCGCTTGGTCAAAACCCGAAATTCGGACCAAAACTCATTTATCCATTCACCTCCGATCCCGATTATATAATTAATTTCGAAATCCAACCCCAATTTGAGGTCTAAATTCGAAATTTATAAAAATTCCCAATTCTTCCCAAATTCCTAATTTTCTACCATGAAAGAATAACGATTAAAGCTAGAAATTAATGGGTGATGATGGAAATGTAAGAAAATAAGTTAAAGTATATTAGCCTATGAAAAGGTGATGAAATTTCTCCTCCAAATCGCCTCTAGGTCGAGCTCTAATGAAAAGATGGTGAAAAATGGGTGAAATCCTGATTTTTAGGAGTTTAAATGACTGGGCGTCAGGTGTTCATCGCGTTCACGAGACACCTGACGCGTTCGCGAAGAGCACTGCCCTGATGACCATCGCGATCGCGACATACTCTACGCGTTCTCACAAGCTTATCCCACCTCGCTTTCGCGAGCGGGGTAGCGGTCGCGCAGAGTAATGGTTCCATACCCTAGTTCTCCTTCCTAACCCTACGTGTTCGCGAAGGAATGGCTGCGTTCACGAAGGGCAGACCCCCTCACTGCTCCGCGTTCATGACCATCTCTTCGCGTTCGGGAAGAACAATTCCTCCCCAATCCCAATTTACTCTTCGGGATCGCGGGAGTATCTTCGCGATCGCGAAGAAGCATGCACCAGAAACTAGTAGAAGCTAAACCAACATTTCATTAAGTTTAAAAATATCCGTAACCTATCCGAAACTCATCCGAGCCCTCGGAGATCCAAACCAAACATGCACACAAGTTCAAAAACATCATATGAACTCGCTCGCGCGATCAAAACACCAAAATAATAATTGAAACTACGAATCGGACACTAAAACAAATGAAATTTTCAAAGAAACTCAAGAACTTTCAATTTCTCAACCGAAAGTCTGAATCACGTCAAATCAACTCTGTTTTGCATCAAATTTTGTAGACAAGTCACAAATACTTAAACAAAGCTATACCAAGTTCCGGAACTGAAATCCGAACCCGAAAGCAGCAAAGTCAAACTACGGTCAAACTTATAAATTCTTTAAACTTTTAAACTTCTAGTTTTCGATAAATTACGAAAAATAAAGTTAGGGACTTTCAAATTCAATTCTGGGCATACGCCTGAGTCCCAAATCACGATACGGATCCATGGGACCGTCAAAATACTTATCCGAGTTCGTTTACTCAAAATGTTGACCGAAGTCAACTCAAATGAGTTTTAAGGCACAATTTTACTTTTTCATCAATTTTCTCATATAAACCTTCCAAAAAAGGACACGGACTGCGCACGCAAATCGAGAAAGTCTAAATGGAGCTATTCGAGATCTGAGAACACAAAAACGAAGAGTAATAACTATAAATGACCTATCGGGTCATCATATTCTTCACCTCTAAAATAAACGTTCGTCCTTGAACGGACATAAAAAAGTACCTGGACTGGTAAAAAGGTATGGATATCTACTCCGCATGTCTGAATCAAACTCCCATGTGACTGCCTCAATCGGCTGACCTTCCCACTATACTCGAACTGAAGGATAACTCTTAGACCTCAACTGTGAGACCTGTCGGGCTAGAATAGCCCTACGGCTCCTCCTCATAAGTCAAATCCTTGTCCAATTGGACTGAGCTAAAATCTAACACATGGGACGGATCACCGTGATACTTCCAGAGCATGGACACATGGAACACCAGATGGACTGCTGATAAACTAGGTGGCAACGCGAGCTTGTAGGCCACCTCACCCACTCTCTCAAGAATCTCAAAGGGTTCGATGTACCTAGGGCTCAACTTGCCCTTCTTTCCAAACCTCATCACACCCTTCATGGGTGAAGCCTAGAGAAATACCGTCTCTCCAACCATGAATGCAACATCACGAACTCTACGGTTGGCATAACTCTTCTGCCTAGACTGTGCGGTGTGAAGTCGATCCTGAATAATATTGACCTTATCCAAGGCATCATGTACCAAATATGTACCCAACAACCGAGCCTCCCCTGGCTCGAACCATCAAACTAATGAACGACACCGCCTCCCCTATAATGCCTCATAGGGAGCCATCTTAATGCTCGATTGGTAGCTGTTGTTGTTGGCAAACTCCGCAGGTGGCAAGAACTGATCCCAAGAACCCCATGTGAGCACGTAATTTTTTTCCTACGAATATACTCCTACAAAATTCACAAAAAATAAATTTTCTAATTATTTTTGATTTTTTATAGAATTTCTAGGAATTTCTTTTGATTGTTTCTTTGCATTTAGTAGCATTTTTTTGTGCATATTTATTATCTTAAAGTCATAGAAAAACCATAAAAATCTTCAAACCTTCATTCCATATAATTTTAGGTTTAATTGCAGTTTTATGAATTAATTACTTATTAATTGTAGAATTAATACATGAAAATTACAACAAAAATACATTAGTAACGTCACATGCCTTATTAGTTAATTATTAGAAAATAGGTAAGTAGGTTTAATTTTGTAAATTATATTTAAGTTAGGATTTAATTTAGGATTTTTCTTAATTAGTTTAGAATTTAAAATCAAAGGAAAAAAAAGAGAAACAAAGAAAGGAATTAAGGAGTTAGTTTGGTTTTACTTAGAATTGGGCCAAAAGCAATTTCAGTGGCCCAAATTTGCCCACAAATCTCGCCCAATCCAATTACCCTACCCGGTCGAGCCTTCAAACACCCCAAACGCCCGTTTTTGCGCCCTTTGATCTCATTCCTTGGTTTGATCATCATCCAACGGCTGAGAACTAGCTCTCCCCTTCCCTTAAAAGTGTCCGAATTAGACCCTAATCCCCCTTCCCCCCCAAAGACCTCTCAAACTCATCTCTTTCCTTTATCTCTCAAAGACCCCTAAACCCTAGCCGTCACTACTCCCAAACCTATCTTCCGTCGGCGGCCAACCACCATTTGGTCTCAACTTTTCACCAGATACTCCCCAACTCTTACTCAATCCAAATCCCTTATCCATTTCCTTTTAATCCGTCTCAAGCATGACCAGTAATAGATCTAAAATTCCAAAAAGAGGAGCTTAAACTGACTCTTCCTTGTTTAATTCTCAAGCGACGACTCGTTTTGATTCGAAACCTGCACTGGCTGATTGCTCTTGATGAGTGCAATCGATCGATGTTGGTTTTGATTCATTCCAAAATTATCAGAATACGGTCAAGTCGCCGTCAACAGGTTTGAAGTTGACATTCTTATGTCCTAGCAGTCGTTTGCCTTAGTGGGTATTTCCCTTTTCTTCTTTTCTTTTTTCTTTTCTTCTTTTTTTTAATTGTTTAATTTCTGATTAATTAATGAGTTTCACCTCGGATTGTTTGTTAAAATAGATTAATTAACACATATGATTAAGCTTAACTAAAAATATGTTTAGTCAGTCTTTGAGTGCATTCTTGCTAATTCCTTAATTACAATTAAGTTTCAGTTTGCTGCAACTTTGTTCTGTCTTGTCGGGTGGGCTTTTCCTTAAGGCCATATTTGCTTTGCTTTGGGCCATTGGTCCAGGGCATTTGGCCCAGACTCAATCAAATATCTCACTTCTAGAAGGGAATAGAAGGGAGTGCTTTGCAAAGGGATCAAACTTTAGGGGATTTAGGAGTCAAAAAAAATAAAAGAAAATGGGGGATAAGGATAAAGAATTAACAGTAGATAGGTAGCTGGCATTTTTTCAGTTACAGATATTCCCTCCCATCTCTCATTTCCCCTGATTTCATGCTGAATTATTCCTTCTCTTAACAGACCCTCCCTCATTTTTAAAACTCAAACTGTTGACTGTATGGTTGGATTAAAACTCAAACTGTTGAATGTTTGTTGGTAGTTCATCACTTGTTGTTAGCATGCTATTCTTTAAATTAATAGTTTGTGCTTGAAATAACACTAGCAGTGATAAATATATGTCTAATTTGGTTGTTTCTTTGATTGGTGGTTGTGTGCAATGAGATTGGTTTGAAAAGCTAGCCCAATGGCTATTCTTTTGTAAATCAGGGTGTGAAGGAGAAGGAAGCATATGACTCAGAAATGGCTACTCTCGTGAAGGGTTGATGCAATGGAATGCCTAAGACTATATTTTTTTTAACTCAGTAATTGTATCATTCTTGTTAGGTTTTCACTATAATGTAAAATTATTAACTCTTTAGTTATGTATTCCCTGAAAATTGGCAGAATTATCTAGTCAAAATCAGATTCATGTTAGTATTAATGATTAGTGGAATTGATTTAAAGCTCTGAACCTTGGTGACCTACAGATTTGGGCTTGTTTCAAGTAAGCCCAAAAGGGTTTGACATGTTTACCCCTGCAGGCCTACTAGCTAGTCAGCCCAATTACAGCATGACTAGTGGCTCAATGTATCGATGTCTATCTGCTAATTGATTCGAAATAATCATTTGTGTTATTATAGTTTAATTCAAAATTCAACAACATCCACCAATTTTAGATTCATTGTTTTCTGATGATTTCCTTTTGAAAGAATATGTTAGGCTTTGGGCTAGGTATATTTGTTAGGAGAAGTAAAGCTATTGATTTTCTTTTGAATGATTGAGTTTATAAAAAATATCAGAATTTCTTTGATCAACGTTATCAGCCTACTTCTTAATGCATATCCTTTCTTGTCAACAATGGTTCAAAAGTCCATAACCTTCATCAAAATCTCAAACCATAGGGCCAAATTGAATAATATCAAAGCATCGTAGTTTGCTTTAGGGGCGAATATTAAACCATCTTGGTCATGAGTACGGTTCCCGTGGCATGGTCACGATACATAAACCCCAACTCAAATGCGCGTTTCACGCGACCTGACCTCAATTTCAAACAATAATAATACATGTTGTAGATTGCGGGATCGTTTCACGTGATGCGATTCGTAATATGTACAAAAACAAACTAGTGCGCAATATCGCGACTTGTTCAAATAAATCTTATAAATACTAAAAGCGAGTGAAATAATTAAAAATTGGTTAGAAAGTTAAAAATGCACAATAGGATTTAAACATGTAATAAATCAGATAGTTAGACCAATTATTAATAGTTAAGCGACTGTGCTAGAACCACGAAACTCGAGAGTGCCTCACACCTTCTCCCGGGTTAACAGAATTCCTTACCCGATCTTCTATGTTCGCAAACCATAAAAATAGAGTCAATTTCCTCGATTTGGGAATTTAAAATAAACCAGTGACTTGTGACACCATAATAATTATCCCAAGTGGCGACTCTAAATTAAATAAATAATCTCATTTCGAATAATGTCACTTTAATTGAAAAAACTCCCTATTCCCTATCCCTTGGGAAAAAAGAGGTGTGACAGCTCTAGCGACTCTGCTGGGGGTATGAACCCAGAATATCTGATTCAGGGTTCAGAGTTCGAGCTTAGATGACTTTTATTCTTGGCTTTTGTTTATTATCAGATTTTATGTATTTTGGCCGAATGTGCTAATTACCGCTCTTTACCTGTCACGACCCAATTTCGCCTATAGGTTGTGATGGCGCCCAACACTACAGCTAGGCAAGCCAACTAATAAGTCAAACATACATTGGTTAAACTTTTATTCCAAGAATATAATAAAATACCAATTTCTACTAATGTGTGTGCCAAGACCCGGTGTCACAAGTGCATGAGCATCTAGTAGATTATACAAAACTCCAAATACTGTCTGAAATAAAATAGACAGAATAGAAATATCAGAAGAGACACTGGTAGCTGTAGAACGGCTCAGAAAGGCAGCTCACCACTAGGCCTCGGGATGACGTGGGTATGTGATGATAGGTCCTCCACTAGTACATGTCTCAGATCCTACACAAAAAGTGCAGCAAGTGTAGTATGAGTACGTAAACAACGTGTGCCCAGTAAGTATCAAGCCTAATCTCAAAGTGGTAGAGACGAGATGGCCGACTTTGACACTCACTATAGGTCAATAATAATTGAAATAAAACTAAGATATTTAAATCAGCATGATTTACAGAATTTACAAATAATTTATTTACTCAGCGGAAATAATCAAATTCCTTCAAATGTAACAATTCTCAATATATTAATTAAATTCCTTCAACTCAAATAATTTCCAATTTATCAATTAAATCTCATTTACAGGAGTAACAATTAATTCCTTAACAAGCAAGAATAATAATTTATTAAATTCCAAGGATTTTCCAATTTATTAATTAGCTTCACGAGCTGAAATAATTTATTAAAATATCGTGTAATTATTATTATTAAGCACGATTTCTGCCGAGGACGTACGGCCCGATCCAGAGTGTCGTGTACACTGCCGAGGGACGTGCGGCGCGATCCATAGATGCATCTATCCTGCCGAGGCGTTCGGCCCGCTCCACAAGAAAGGAGAAAATTTTTTATGTGCCTCCGGAAGGAGAGTATATTAATTATGAGATGAATTTGGGAGGAGAACAATTTCTTTTAACAATTAATTGATTTAAACAGACAATAAAGCCTATGAGATTTCCATCCTTTAATATCTTTATCTAACAATTCACAATATATTCATATAGATATCAATTAATATAAATGAATCAAAGAATACAATTTACACAAGTAAGGCATGCTTTGAGTCCTAAACTACCCGGAATTTAGCATTAATAGTAGCTACGCAAGGACTCTCGTCACCTGTGCATACGTAGCCCCCACAATTAGCAACAATTATTTAATTTTTAATCTCCTATGAGGTAATTTCTCCCTCACAAAATTAGACAAGAGACTTACTTCGTCTTGCTCTAATTTAATCCACTATAAGGCCTTTTCCACGATTATCCAACTCCGTCTGGCTCGAATCTAGCCAAAATAATTCGATACAATCACTAAATATTATGGGAATCAATTCTATAAGAAAACACTACATTTTTTATAAAAATCCCGAAATTAATTAAAAATTTGCCCGCAGGGCCCACATCTCGGAATCCGACGAAAGTTACGAAATCCGATAACCCATTCAATTACGAGTCCAACCATACCAGTTTCACTCAAATCCGACTCCGAATCGATACCGAAATCTCAAAATTT